TTTTTTCTAGTTTAACAGTTATCTTTTCATTTTGTTCATTTATTATTTTTTTTAACTTCCAAGCTTTCTGTTGAGTTTTTAGTTTCTGCCCTTATTTTTAATTTTCAAGACCCCTTTCTTGTTTTTGACCATTCCTTTTGAAAAAGAATAATACCCTGTTCTTTTTTTTTTGATGGATATAATATTTGCTTTTGCTTCTTTGAAGATAGTATTCGGTGCTTTTTTTTTTTTTTTGAGACAGAGTCTTGCTCTGTCACCCAGGCTGGAGGCTGGAGTACAGTGGCTCAATCTCAGTTCACTGCAGCCTTCACCTCCCAGGTTCAAGCAATTCTCGTGTCTCAGCCTCCCGAGTTGCTGGGATTATAAGCACGTGCCACCACACCTGGCTAATTTTTTTGTATTTTTAGTAGGGTCGGGGTTTCACCCTGTTGGCCAGGTTGGTCTTGAACTCTGACCTCAAGCGATCCGCCTGTCTTGGCCTCCCAAAGTGCTGGGATTATAGGTGTGAGCCACCACACTCGGCTCCCTCTTTTTTTTTTAATTGTGGTAAAATATACGTAACATAAAATTTACTGTTTTAACCATTTTTAAGTGTACGGTTCATTGGCATTAAAGTACATTCGCATTGCTGTGCAACCATCACCACCATCCGTCTCCAGAACCTTTTTATCTTCCCAAACTGAGATTCTGTGCCCATTAAGCAATAGCTCCCTTTTCTCCCCTCCCTGTTAGTTTATAAAAGTTAACTAATCTATATATAGGTTTTACTTTTATCTGTTTCTTTTGGTCTGTTTTTATCCCTAGAAGTCTGGTGATTCTTGGTCATCCTTTATTTTTTTATTTTTTTATTTTTTTGAGACGGAGTCTTGCTGCGTCACCCAGGCTAGAGTGCAGTGGTGCAATCTCAGCTCACCACAACCTCTGCCTCCCAGGTTCAAGCAATTCCTGTGCCTCAGCTTCCCAAGTAGCTGGGATTATAGGCATGTACCAGCATGCCCAGCTAATTTTTGTATTTTTTTTTTGAGACCGGAGTCTCGCTCTGGCCGCCCCAGCTGAGTGCAGTGGCGGATCTCATGCTCAACTTGTAAAGCTCCCCTCCCGGGTCACGCCATTCTCTCTGCCTCAGCGCTCCCCAGTAGCTGAACAGGCGCCCGCCACCTCGCCCGGCTTAGTTTTTGTATATTTTTAGTAGAAGACGGGGTTTCACCGTGGTCGCCCAGGATGGGTCTCCGATCCTCTCTGTTAGGTGGTCATTTTCTTAAAAAACAACTAGATGGCTGGGCAGTGGCCTCACGCCTGCAATCAACACTTTGGGAGACCAAGGGCGTAGCAGATCACTGAGTAGAGTTCGAGAACCAGCCTGGCCAATCATGGCAAAAACCCATCTATAAAATACATAAATAGGCCGGGCGCGTGGCTCAGCTGTAATCCCACACTTTGGAGGCCGAGACGGCGGATCACGCGGTCCGGAGATTGGAACATCTGTGCTAACACCGTGGACAACCCCGTCTCGTAACTATAATACAAAAAACCACGCCGGGCGAAGGTGGGCGGCCGCCTGTAGTCCCAGCCTACTCGGGAGGCCTGAAGGCAGGAGAAAATGGCGACCTGGAGGCGGAGCCTTGCAGTGAGCTCGAAGATCCCGGCCCACTGCACTCCAGCCTGGCAACAGAGCCGAGACCCGTCTCAAAAAAAAAAAAAAAATTTACAAAATTAGCATTGCATGGCTGGTACATGCCTATAATCACAGGTCTTGGGAGCCTGAGGCACAGAGTTGCTGCACCTGGAGGCAGAGGTGTGTGGAGCTGAAATGCCCCA